ACGCCATTTAATTGAACTTTTATCCTCTAATTTGTTTACTACAGTATTTAGGAGTATATTTTAAAAGTCTTACTAATCCATTTGTACATCCACCATGTGTATAGAATCACCACTAAGCCCGGAAAACGCCACCGAATTCGTCATAGTATCCTCCAATCATGCAGATAAAGCTAAAGTGTTCCAGAGAAATCATTTATTACAATGGAGGAAATTTGATGATACATATTTATTGCATTTCCCTGATGTGTTATTGGTCCTGTATGATGTTGGATGCAGAAATGGATCAATATGACTATCAAAATAGGCTATTAAATACTTTAGTAAAACAATCAGAGGGCAAAGATTCAGTTAAAGTTTCCAGTTTCTCCTCCTCTAACTCCGTCAGTTCTTGAACGATAGAGCTAACCTAGTGCAAATAGTACTAACCTTGGTGCAAATTCCATCCAAATCCGAAGACATTGATTTTAAATCTTGGGTCACTTGACACGAAATTTCCCATATGTATGTTTATATTCACACAAAATATTTTGAATGTGCCAAAAATTTTTGTTTGATTTTTTTAACTCTAAAAATTTTTTTGCGCTCCTTTAAATTTGGCTAATTGGTATGGATTAATTGCTCCTAAATCCAGGTCTGCCAACAAAAAAATTTTATCACTTCTACTTTTTTGCAAAAGTGTTTTAAAAAATAAAATTTTTTGTTAGAAACACAAATAAAATTTACTACATATAAGGATGTCTGGATGTATATATGTAAGTTATTACTTTGCATTTGTTTTTCTATTCATTGATGTTTCGCGGCAAATAGACCAACAAAAATCCGTAAGCATGCCTGACCATTTTCCGTTGTATCTTCTTTTAAACTTCATTAGGCTTTATTCTAAATACTTCATCCTCCAAAAGTTTCCGAATTTGGTGCCCTACATTTGTAGCGCCTCTGTTTTAAGAACCCTTGCTAATTTTGTTACTTCTAGTGAAGATTTTTAAGCCATATTTGGATCTATGGGCTTGATTATAAAATTGTATTAAATAAAAAACTCAATCCTCGCACTCAAGTAATAAAAAAAATCATAATTTTGAATAAAATCAGTTATAAAGCTTTATTATATGTAAATGGGGATTTGATGTAAATATGTATGTATATATAGGGACTTGTAAAATTTGTATGAAATTTATCCTAATTGTAATATCAATCTTTATTTATCACTGTGGGTTTCTTCATTTAAATTGTATATACAACTAAAATTGATTTATATCGGTCAGTTTGAAAAACATCAAATTATACACAAATATTTATTTTTTTTTTTTTTTGTGTATGACTTACGAAATTCCGTGCATTAGTGTTAACCGGAAATGATAGACTTGTTATGTTATTTTGTTCATTGGTATTGAAAACGAAATGGTACAAAATTTTAGTACAATCGATATCGGTTAAAAGCTGTAAAATTAGGTACATTTTTATTTCTATCGAAAACTGAAACAAAGTGTAAAAGTATTTTTTACTAAAAAAGTTGTTGATATTGACGAACAAAGATAATCTATATGTATTTTAAGGGTACCACTAATAGATTTAGAAGTAGATCTATTTCTTAAATAAACCAAAAATGTTCAAAATTTTCTCAAGTTAAGCTTATTTCTTATTGACAAATTATTATTTGAAGAAAAATTTGCGGTTTTTGTTTTACTTACGGAGGTATGAAACACACGCCCTTGAGAATTTGTTTTTTCTAAAACCCTAAAGGGCGTATGTTACATTAAAAAATAGTAAGTTTTAACATTTTCAACTAAATTCAAATCGGTTTTTGTTGGTCAAATAGGCCCAAACATGGAAGGCATAAGTGGTCTTTGTTTTCATAAAGATTTTCGCTAAAAGTGCCATTTTTGTTTTATTTGATGCCAACTTATTATAACATTTCACAGTTTCGAAGTTATAAATTCAAAAGAATTTTAAAATTTTCATGAATTTTAAGGTAATTTTAGAACATAAACCTTTTAGAATTTCTTTGATAGGGACGTTGATTTTAATTGTAGGAGTGTAAAATTTAGCAGGAACATGTATTTTGATACGGTGCATCATAATCAAAAAGTCAATTTTGATTTTTTTGTAACTTAGGGCTTTTTGGATTTCATATGACGATATCCAAGTTGGCATAGTATAGTCGAATAGACCATTAAAAAATGTGAGCAACTACGTCATTATTTTTTCGCGGTTGTTAAATAAGTTCACGCACCGAATGTCTGTCCGTCTGTTTTTTAACTTTAGTTTTTTGGAGCCTCCATAAATCTTGGGAATCCAAATCTTAAATAATTGAATTAGATATGCTTTTAAGAATTTAGCTGTTTAAAACCAGTAAAATCGTTTCATAAGAATCGGAGATATGGTCAAATCAAATATGATCAATAAATTATATTTTATGGACTTTTTGATTAAGGGATGTCAAAAAGTATATTTGCGTAAAAATAGTCGCGATATGACAAAAGAATACATTTTGGTTTATGTTAGAAATTGGGGATGGTGCGTTACGTTTTTGATTCGAAATGACCAAAAAAAATGTTTGTATGTATGTATGTATATATGTATGTATGTATTAATCACCAAAATCGGTCCATAAATAACGTTACAAACATAACATTGCATTTCGAATTTAAAAATATAAAATTAAGGGCGTTTGAAAATCCCTTTGGTCCAATTTAAGTGAACGATTAGCGATTTTAAAATGTATCTTCGAAAATTGTTGTTGAGTACTTGATTACATAGTTAATTTTGTCTATTGATTAAACGGAGGTAGTTTACAAGAAATGCCAAGTGTTAACAACTAATCCTAGACATAAACATAATTTTTGTGACAATAAACATTACAATATATATTTTATTTGCAGATTAATCAAGTATGGAGAGTTCAAAATGTACAAAATTATTTTAATTTAACTTTTCTGTAATTTTTTCATTTATATTTATTTTATATTATTCATGTCCTGATTTTTAATTTGAGTTTTATCATGCAAATTTACTCTTTGTGTATATTATAATAAAATACTATGCTATTTCTATTCCAAAAGTACAAATTCTTATTTTAGAATTTATTTTAACATATTGTCAATAATAATAGCTCGTATTGATAGCAGGGTGTTCTATATATCTAGACATCGTTCAATATAAAAATATGTGCTACTAATTATATAGTTTTATGCATTTAAATTAAAAATATATTTTCTTGTTTTTGAATTATTTATTATATTTATAATATTAAAAGTTTAAAGCTTATTATTCAATGGGAAATGTCTAATAGATATCATTGCACAAGGTGGAAATTTGCATTCATACGTTGTCAAATATTTGTTTATAAATTACACACATACATATTCTGCATTTTTAATTTCGAATACCGTAATTAAAAAGGATATTGAGGGACTATATTCAATAGTCTCGCTATCTCTCAATTTCATGAAAATGAGATTTTGAGTGCAAAACATGAAGCAAACAATACCGCATACGTGATATAAATTTTTAATACTAATTAGTTTAATTTTATAATCGCCTTTAACCACATATAGTTGAGTTCGTACCAAAACATGCTATTCTTTTGCTCTTTTAAGAATTTGGTTTCTTTAACGCCACTAAAATATTGTAGGAGATAAAATTTAAAAATCTTTACGAACATACAAGTCTCTCGGTAATCTTTGAATTTACTAACTTATTGGTTATCACAACAGATTCATAATTCAACATATGTACATTTGTATATCGTCATATGAAATCCAAAAAGCCCTAAGTTACATTGAACAAATTTTTCAGAAGCAAAAACCCGTCTAAAATGATAAATAAACCAAAAATGTTCAACATTTCCTCAGGTTAAGCTTATTTCTTATTGACAAATTATTATTTGAAGAATAATTTGTGGTTTTTTTGTTTTACTTACGGAGATATGGAACTTACGCCCTTGAGAATAGGCCGAAACATGGAAGGCTTCTTTGTTTTCATAAAGATTTTCGGAAATTGGAATTTTTCTTTGAAAAAAAAAAAACTAAAACTGTTAAAATAATCTCTAAATTACAAGGATTCGCTAAAAGTGCATTGTTATATAACATTATATATTTCACTGTTTCAAAGTTAAAAATTCAAAAGAATTTTAAAATTTTCATGAATTTTAAGGTAATTTTAGAACATTACCTTTTAGAATTTCTTTGATAGGGACGTTGATTTTAATTGTAGGAGTATAAAATTTAGAAGAAACATGTATTTTAATACGGTGCATCATAATCAATTCGATTTTGATTTTTTTGTAACATAGAGCTTTTTGTATTTCATATGACGATATACAATAGTATTCAAAATGTTTTGGAACTGTTACAAAATTTCATATTTTTATTAATTTATTTTTCAACAATTAATATTGGTCCAGGAAAATTGGGGGTTTGCTGCGGAATTTTAGAAACGTAAATGAAAATTGGTACATAACTTCTCCTTATCTTTATCTAAAAGGTATAGACAACAAAAACAGTAAAACACGCCCTAATTGATATAAAATCTGTTATAAAAGCTCGAGGCAGCGTAAAAATTACTTACTACCGTATAGTACGTAGACCCAGCAGTTCGGTCGGAGAGACCCAGGTGTACTTTCTACGAGGAAGTCAATCGTCACCCCATAGTTTTGTAATCTATGCTTATGTTATGTTTATTTTTTAAGTGTCCAGTATCTCTCTTAGAAACGGGGACACTAAGGTGACGATTATCTTCACGCTCGTTTGCAAAGAGTAAATCCGTGACGAAGGACGAATTAGAGCCAACCAGGTGGTTAGACGTTAGTGGAAATCACTGTTTCGGATGCATTAACTCTTTGTCGAACTGCTGGGCATATATACATATGTATGTACGTAATACATTAACATAAATTAATCGTACAACATACATACATGTTGAACAATATTAATAAAACCTAAACATGGATAAAATGTGGATACCATTTCAATATTTCTATTATATTAATATTAGGTACTTACTTATGGGATGTTTACATGGATTCGAAATAAAAATCTCTTGAAAATATGGACTACATATTGCCAAGACGATTTTGTGAGCTTGCAGTAACTTTCCGTCGCATGCCAACGTTACGTCTACTAAATCTCCACGATCATAAAGACTTTGAAAACCACTGGCAATGTTGTCCTGGAAATTTTTCCAGCATAATTTAAACTCATCATCCATGATGAAAAATGATACAAATAACAGTGTTTAGAAATTTAAATATTTTTTATACTTTTTTAAGTACTTTGATTTTTTCTTTATGGGTATTTTGTTTTATTGTTTTGTTTATTAACTTCTATCTTTTATATTTTATTCTGACATTTGGCGTATACGGTATTAAAGTAAAGCACGAATTGTATCTAAATACCGGGGTTGTTGGATAAAAACAAAGATAGCACAAAACAGAAACAAATTACAAGAAAGACGAGATGTAGAAGAAATAAAATTTTTGTGAGTATAACGGTAATTAAATTTAATTGTTTATAGTTTACATATTTTTTTTTTTTTTTTTGAATATTATTACTTTGATATTTTACACATATTTATTTATAATTTTTTTACAATAAAACAATTTTATACAATGTACTTTCATCAACTCTTTATTAATTAAAAACACCAAGTATGTAGATTTATTATATCGTTAACAATTTGTTGTGTAGATTTATATTTCGTTAGTAATCAGTATCAATCAACTGTTGTAGGAATGAGTATAATTTGTTTATATTTAAAAGCGTAATTTTTTTGCGCCTTCAGTATAAATAATATTCTTTTCGGTCCTAAGCACATCCACCGACTATTAACGTATTTCTATAACTGGAAGAATATCAACATTAAAACATAAATAGAAAAACAATAACGCAGGGTTGTTATGCGTTAGATTTTATTAAAATGACAGAGTTGTAATGGATCTAAAAATGAAAATATTTGCTTTGTTTTGACAGTATTTTCATTTGATTACTCAACACGTGTCGTAAATTTACGTTATGTTTTTTATACTCATTATCAGGTAAACCAAAAATATGCTTTAAAAAAATTTATAAAATATGCTCTAATAAATAAAGACAATAAAAACTTTTTTAACATTGAAAATTTTAATAGGGTTGAAAATTATTTTCTGAAATAAACAACATTTCATCTCTCTTTCAAAAATTAAGTGTGCATCTGTAATGAAATTTCAAAATTGTATTGTTCACAGAAAAAAATAATACATATGTAACTGGAATGATGGAATATATTGTATGAATCGAACATGACCTTTTTTCCCAAACCATTTGCATTCAGAATATTAAAAGTTCAAAATGTTTGAATTTGTACATGAAAGATTTTTTTGTTTTTTTTTTTGCTCATTTTCGTTGATTTTCATTTCCTATTAATATCTTCCTTTTTTAGAAAAAAAATCACATATTAGCAAATTTTTATGATAAATAAATAAAAATATTGGAAAACAAAATATGAAAAAAAGTTAACGCGTTATTTTCATTGTTTTCAATCTAAAAAACATAAAGAAATAAACAAATTTCCAAAGAAAATTTCAATCATTTTTTAAAAAGTATAAAAATATAAAAATGGAAATGTTCATATAATGTAGGAACTTATTCTTAAATATTATTAACTTTAGTCAATGAAAGCAGTTCATAATGTTTATGCTGAAACCTTTTTCTGTGTTGTACATTTGCATAAAATATCAAATTATGCTTTAAGACTGTGTGCCAAACGGTAGCAAATTTCTATGGTAAAATAAAATTTTCTTATGGTGGAAAATATTATCACTTTTGCTTTGTCAAACGAAATCTTTTTGGTTACATGAAATTTTGACAATTGTCACTAATTTCATAAGAAAATCTGCATTTATTTCAATAAAAGAAACACTTTTATTGATTTTTTATTATTAAAATTAATTTCTACAATCACAAATGTATTATAAACTAAAAATATAAAATATTTTATTTTTTTGGATTTTAAAATTTTTCTTTTCATTTGTCAAAAATGTATGTAGCCCTATGAGCTAGTAAAATTTTATTCACCTCATATCTATCAAAAATTTACATTTTCAAGTAAATGTTTACCGATTGCCACACACTCTAAATGTAATATTAAAATCAAATTATGTTCTTATCAGTAAAATATGCTCTAAAAAATCTATGTACACTCAAACCTCCCTCGTTTTATGCGAATTAATCGTTTCGCAAAAAAGCGCATCATTTAAATTCGTACAAAACAATACACTAGCTCCATGCAAAATCCACTAATTGGGTTTTAAATAAAAAGCGGACATTTTCAAATTATTCCCTTAAAAGTCAAACAAAATCGGATATAAAAAATCAACAAAAATTTAATTCTTCACTGAAACCAATAAAAATAAAGGAAACAAACAACAAAACAATACCAATTCCAAATAATAAAAATATATAGAAAATATATAAAATTAAAAAAAAATATATATATAATATTTCTTCATGTACAAAGGATTTAAACAATACTTTATATATCCGAACCGGAATTGGTATAAAATCAGTAGTAGTACCTTGTTGATAACTTTTTTTGGATGTGTGTGGACCAACATTTTCCTCAAAATCATTTTTGCGAAGAAAAATTATAGAATTTTGAAACCGCACTAATTCAAATTCGCATAAAATAAATTCGCATAAAACGAGGTTTGAGTGTATGTCAAAATTCTTAAATTGTTCTGAAACGTGTTAATGTCTTTTCCATAAGTCTATGCGATGCACCATAAAAAACATGCATTTGAATGTTTTGGTTTCCCTATTCATTATAAACTTCTAAATTTTTGTTTTATTGAGAATTATGGAATTTCAAATAATATTATCATCATATTTATTCAATAAATAGTTACTAAATGATTGTAACTTCATCTATAGTTTAAAGAATTTTAATTGACGAAAAGCATATACATACATACATTTATGACATTTTATTATTTCATTAATTATTTTTACTATAAAACAGGATAATTATACTCTTCTTCGTATTATTATTATTATCCTTTTTTAAATTCTGTGTAGTGGAATATTTTTAACCTTATGTTATAAAAGTGGTTAAAGTCAATCATGGGCCAATCCTTATATGTTACGGTTTTTTTAATTTGTTATTTGTTCGACTTTTACAACTTATATTTAAAAATCATTTTGTTTTCCTAACTGCCGGTCCACACTAGGAAACTTTTTTTGGGAAACTTTTGATTTTGCGTGAGAGAAAAAGAGAAAGAATATCATTCATCTCTCTCGCGGTACGGAGTTTCTCGTACTCGGAAACTTGTTTTGTTTTATTATTTTTCTCATTCGTACAACAACAAATCAATGCAATTAATACGTTGTTTCTGAAACAAAAGTTTCAATATGTGGACATTAAGGAAACTTTAAAAGAGAATTAAGAAAAAGTTTCTCAGCAAAAGTTTGCTTGTGTGGACCAGGTCTAATGAAGAGCGAGTTATTTTATCGAATTTTGACATCCCTGGATTTAATATTGACGAACACAGAAATAGTTTCTGGCAACATTGTATGTGTCAATTGGACATTTAAATGTACAAAACAAGATATATTATTTATAAGGTAGTGTCGTCGGCGAATTCAGAAAAACAGAGCGAATTCATTTTATTTTTTATATATGGAGTTTGACAGTATGCCTACACTTAAAAGTGCCAGCACACTGTCAAAATACATGTAAATTAATATACCATGGTACAAAACATATCATGATGGAACAATAAGGTGAAGTGAATTCTACAAAAACAAAAAAAGTTGTATACAAGATTAATTATAAGGTAGTGTTATCAGAACAGCTGATCGTTCTTTGCTATTATGTTAATTTTTTCTCCGTGGTGTATAATTAATGTCAAACTTTGTTTACATTTTGTAAATGTCAAACTCTGTTTTAATTTTGTTAATGTCAAACTGGTTTCATTTTGTATATGTGAATTTTGTGATTAAAGTGAAATTGTGTGATTAGGGTATATTTTTGTGTTTTTAATCTTTAAAAGTTAAAACATCAAAATAAATTATAAACAGATTCAAATTTATAATTTTTTTTTGTTTAATTTAAATTCGCTTTGATTTATTTGTCAGCTGTTTTTGAAATTTTTCCCTTACAGCCAATTCGCCTTCAAGTGCAGGCACAATGTCAAACTACATATAAAAAAAATATAACCAATTCGCTTGGTATTCTGAATTCTCCGATGACTAAGGCGAATTCATATAAGGTGGTGTTATTCAATCACTACATCACTCTACATTTAAAAAAAATATAACCAATTCGCTTGGTATTCTGAATTCTCCGATGACCAAGGCGAATTCATATAAGGTGGTGTTATTCAATCAGCTGATAATATTTTTCTTAATTCGCCTGGTTTACGTAGCTGTCAAAGTTTGTTATTGTTTACATTTTTATATTTAAAAATGTCCGTTAAACGGAGAAAAACTTCGTTAATATTTTGAATTATTTATGTAAATAATCTGAAAATACCAAGCATCTCGTAAACAAATATCATTTTATTTAAAGAATGGCATAATTGGTATGTATACAAATATGTTATTTAAGAAAAATATTTTTTTCTATTAAATGTTAACATATTACACAATATTGTTTTATAGTTTATATTAAAATTGTGTAGATAACGTGATTAACTAAAAAAATCACTTCCGGAACACTTAATATTAAGAAACGCCCATTTTGTTCATATATACGTCAAAGTCGTCCATACAAAATTTGAACACTCTAGCAGTTTATGAGATATGCGACATTAAATATTTATTAGGTATGTGAGCGTGCACCTCGCCTACTTGAAATTTTAAAATAAGAAGTATCCTATAGTACTGTTGAAATTTCAAGAAAATCGGTCCAGCCATTTAGCCTTTTATGGACTTCAAACAAACAAACCCACAAACAAATAAACACACGTTCTTGTTTATATATATAGATGTAATCAATTACAATTTCCAAAAAGTATAATATTAGACTAAAAATAAAAATACTTATTTTATAACGTATTTTAAATACATATTATATTCTTATAAAGATTTTACTACAAAATTAAATGAAAAATACTCTTGTTTTATTGTGTGGAACTTTTGTTTTTTTACTTCAATTTAAACAGTTTTCATTAAAAATATTATGTTTAAGATATACATAAACATATAACGTGAATTTTAATGATATAAATAATTACTCATTTAATTATAAGTATATATTATTTTAGTATCCTGAAAATGGAATTAATCCCAATGTAAATAAATGATTTTTATGTGCATCTGGCAACTGGAAATGGTACATTTTGACAGTTGTATACAAAGTAAATTAAAAAAATAACAATCAGCTGTTGAATTGACTTCACCTTATAAGTGCACCCTAAAACATATTAAGAAAAATATCAGCTGTTTAACAGAGGCCACCTTGTATAAATTTGAGTCAGGGTGCACTCATAAGGTGAAGTCAATTCAACAGCTGATCATTCATTTTTTTATTTGAGGTAGATAAAACTGTCAAAGTACACCATTTAGAGTTGCCACAATCCGAAAAAATATGTACAAAATTAATAAAGCCACACGGGCAGACAAGTAATATGATCTGTCAAAATTTTGAGTAGAAGAGAACGGATGGGATCGTCTAAACGGAATATGTAACGAAATCATCGCACATTGAGAGAGAATACGGATGGAAAATTTGACAGTCGTATGGCTCTCTTCTTTTTTTGAAATGATTAAAAAAACAAGCAAGTCGCATTAGATCAGGGATGTATTTTTATGTAAACACATACAAAAAAGTGAAACAGCTGTTTCATCTTACTTTGTT